AGAGCACGGATAACGGCTCGCAGCTCGATTAGCTCTCGACTATTAATTCGGTATAAGGCCGGATGCGGCCGAAAACGGAAGCCACGCGTGTCACGTAGCGGCCGCAGGAGCCGACAAGATGGCGTCCGAGGAAACCAAACTCGGAACGGAGGATTTCTGTCGCCTCTGTCGCGACCTTTTCCAATTCGAGATTCCTTCGCCGTCTTTGTGCCGCGGATTTCAATTCGTCGTAAAATGCATCGCGCAACAACATTTGTTAACGAGAATACTAATCTTCCGACGCCGTAAAGCGTCCGCGAAACAATACCCGACGGAGCACTGCTTCTTTCCTGTTTACACATACGCACTCACATTTTGATTCTGTATATTTCTAGCTGGAAAATTATTTGCACCTACGAATCGTCTTTCAACCTTTGGACGGCTAACATTTTTTAGCATTTATGGCAGCCACGGCTAGATCCACTTAAATATTTACGATTAATTTTTATTTGCGTGTTACTAAAACCCCTTCGTTGAGCCAAAAGTTATTAATTCTATTAGTTTGAATATTAATAATTAATAATTACATATGATTGTCAAAAAATTAGAATTTCGATGGAGTGTTCGTCTCTTCGGGTCCAAACGGACCCGGCGTCCGCCATCATAGGGTTAAAGTCGTAGAACGTGACTCACTCGGGTTTCTCGTCCTGTTACAAAATGCTTCGTCCGCGTCTGTTGTGACTCGTGAACGAAAGAACTATCATCATTTGGACAGAAGGAACGTTTTCGTCGGCGCGCTCCTCGGATGGGAACCACGTGTTACGAACACGGAAACGCACCCTTCGGCTACAAGTCTTCTTCTATTCTTAACGACGCGTTTATTTGTTCGCGGTTTTCACGGAAAACCGTGGACGAACAGAATCGAGGGAGAAAATGGGAGTTTACCCCGTTCCCGGTTATTCTCGGAGCCGTGCACCCCGAAGAGACCGTGAACCTTTCTTTCCGCTCATAATTCCGCCCACGATTTCGATCTCGATGCTCCCGGGTAAACACATGTGTTCGGAATTTGTTGACTCGGTTGCGTTGCCACAAAAATATAGAAAATACGTAATGCAGTTCACAGGAAGCGTCCACAGTGGCGCCTTGTTCTCAAACGCGATGTCAGAGGACGATTTCTTTTAATTTTTCAAAACGATTTCGTCATTCTATTGTAATCTAATCTAGCCTATCTTAAAGTAGAAGCTTCCAGCTTTCATTTAAGCTAAGTTGCATAGAAATATTCTCATGAGAACATATCGCAAAATTCATCTGAACTTTTCGTTTTAATTCTCGTAAAGCCATGCTGTCAGAAGTCGATTCTTCCTAATTTTTCAAAACGATTTCATCATTCTATTGCAATCTAGTCTACTCCATCTTAAAGTAGACACTCCCAGCTTTTATTCAAGCTAAATTTCATAGAAATAGTCCCGTGAGAATACATCGCAAAATTCATCTGAACTTTCCCTTTTAAATCTCGTAAATCCCATAATGTCAGAGATCGATTTCTTTTAATTTTTCAAAACGATCTCGTCATTCAATTGCAATCTAATCTACTCCATCTTAAAGTAGACACTTCCAGCTTTTATTTAAGCTAAATTGCATAGAAATAGCCCCGCGAGAATACATCGCAAAATTTATCTGAACTTTTCCTTTTAAATCTCGTAAATCCCATAATGTCAGAGATCGATTTCTTTTAATTTTTCAAAACGATCTCGTCATTCAATTGCAATCTAATCTACTCCATCTTAAAGTAGACACTTCCAGCTTTTATTTAAGCTAAATTGCATAGAAATAGCCCCGCGAGAATACATCGCAAAATTTATCTGAACTTTTCCTTTTAAATCTCGTAAATCCCATAATGTCAGAGATCGATTTCTTTTAATTTTTCAAAACGCTCTCGTCATTCAATTGCAACCTAATCTACTCCATCTTAAAGTAGACGCTTCCAGCTTTTATCCGAGCTAAATTGCATAAAAATAGCCCCATGAGAACGTATCTCAAAACTCATTTGAACTGTCCCTATGAATTTGTTGTCGCACTTCCGTGTCTTTTCCAACGCGTCAGAGATCCGCGAACGGACTTGTTACACAACCTAATATGTAGTTTGAAGTGTACGGAAATAATAGGAGGGGTCCAACAGGTGTTCAAACATTCGTAGATAGAACGCTGTTATCGAGTTGTGAACGTTGCGACGGGTGGTTCGTTCGAAGAAGCAACGTCTTCGGAGATAACCGAGGTTTTCGGAGCGGTCTTGAATGGCAGTCGATAATGGGGAGAGTTCATTAAAGCGAAAAAAGAAGGAGCACGACTCTTTCCGGTTATTTTCGGCCGGGAGGGATCGTGAACCCTGGTGTATTCAGTCGGCGGCGGTTAGATATCGATATCGCCGACACAAAAGGCTCCGTTGTCCGGGAATGCACACGGTTACGGAAAACGAGCGACCCCATTAATTACGCCATTGTGCTCCCGATAAACTCGCGAGAACGGTCCGCGTCGCATCAGAACGTATAAACGAACGATGCGATTCTTTTTTCGCGCCTTTCGAGACGCTTCAAGGTTAGCGAGAAACGGTGACCTCGTCGTTTCAGAGATCAGGCACTTTTTCCGAGCTTGCGGTATCGGCTCCTTTAAACTTATTAACCCTAACATGATTAACCCCTTGCCATAATTTGACGAGTCTGACACGTGACGGAGATTTCTAGGAAGCACCTGCTAAGTATGAATATTATTCCGTTCTTTTAAGTCGAAGTAAAATTCTGTTCTCTTGTCATCGATATTTAAGCATTCGATCAAATGCAGGCATATGGAAAATATAAATTTTCTATTTTTCTTCTTAAAAGTTATTACAATCGAAAAACTTCTAATCACTGCAACTATGAAGAAAGTGGTATGGCAAGGGGTTAAGGGAGGGTCAAAATGTGTTCATGGAATTTTTAAATGTATTTTTGCTGTAACGATCTTCTTTTATAAATTTTGTATATTCTATTTTCGCATTAATTGGTACTTAAACGTATTATTGGGCAGTATCCTATAAATAAATATACCACCAATAGAAGAACGTTGTCATTTGAGCGAGTACGTCGTATCAGATTTGCCTGCAGAGTTTTGAAATTTATTAGAATTTGAAATCCATTCTGTTCGTGGAGTATTCAGCACATTTTTAAACATTGTGATTTTATTTCACCCTTTGCAGTCGGAGCTATTTTAACTCAAAGTTCAAAAAATAGTTTTTCTGATCTTTAGTATTTCCACTTTACAAATTTTATATATAATATATTATATATAATAATATATAATAATTATATATAATATATAATATATTATATATAATAATATATAATAATTATAATAATATATATAATAATAATATAATAATATATATAATAATAATAATTATATATATAAATATTATATTTGATATTTTATATATAATATTAAAATTATTTTCGAACGCGATGCGGCAGCTTTTAGTGGCGCCTTAGAGTCGCCACTCGACTTCAAAGGGTTAATACATATCAATATGTAATAAGTCTGATAAATACCACCTCAATAAATACACTTCTCCTAATTCTAAAAATATAATGGATATAATTATAAAAATATAATCCTTTCAGCCTAACTTCCTTCTTCGCACTAGTACAACATGGTATTTTTTATGAGCGCAACGACTGCGTTATACGGTTTTGTTCAAATGTATCTGCTCGTTCGAATGAAATTATGCGTGTCGAGGCCAGGTCAGAAGGACCGCGGAGTGAATTTAATCCGGCCTCGGTCGGTTGTACGAAACCTCGGTATTCCGTATTCTGTCTCCGTCGTTTCCGACTTTTCGAAACACCAAAGCTCGGCCGGAGCTTCGCAGAAATTGCAGGGACTCGGGGTAAATTGTTCGCGCGCGATAGCCGCAGGGCAAGATGAGAGAATTCCATTGAAAATTGCCGGAACGTTCGAAGAAAAGGATTTTTTTCCTTGGGAGATCGCCGAGAAAATGGGCCGGCCAAGATTGCAATTCCGTTCGAGCAAAGTCGGCGGTTTAAAAGCGTGTCGCGGAAGAAATGCCTCCGCGTAATTCGTGCGCTCCAGCGATGCCACATTCTCGAATAACGAGGAACAAACGCATTAAAAGACCATTATTTTATTAGCCTCGCCGGGGAGGGGTACGGTCGCGTGTCTCGCGTCCCATTAAATGAAATTGAACTCGGGCTCCCCCGGTGGGGAAAACTAAAGCAAGGTGTGTCTTGCCGGTAATACGGTAATAGCTCGCGGAAATTAAGCGTGGGGCATTAATTAAAACATCGTGGACCTCCGTCGGCTAAACAGAAAGGGCATCGATCTGTTCAGGGTCGGTGCAGCTCACCCCTGCTGCACACGGTTTTATCGGTGCAAGCCTGCAACGATCTCGATTAACTTACGGGGGGCGTTCAGGCGAGAATCAACTGCCTGTAATTCTTCGAATACAATTTTGTAAATACGCGTTTCCGCAGCATTTATCATGCCGATTCGAATTATGTGCAAATTATTTTGTCAATTAAATTGTTAGACAAATTTCACTCCAACTTCGTCTACACAAACTGCAGTAAAAATTTGAACTCGACAACTTAATTATTGTTCGAGTTATTTCTATTTCGGCGATAATTGTTGACGATTATTATTGAGTAATTTATGAAGAATAATAAGTAATCGTTGCGCTGCTAAAATAATTATCACACGAAGATTAAAATAACTCGAACAATAATAAAGTTTTCCAGCTGAAATTTTTAACACTTTAATAAACGTATTTGCTATCGCATCTTCCTAATTTCATTAGGATCTGTGAAATGTAAAAATCTGGAGAAAGTAATTCATGTTATATATTACATATTACATAATATATTATATAATACATATATCAATCTTAATTTGACAGAATAAAATACTTTAATTTTATACAGTTTTTCACGTCGTCAGTGTGACAATTTTTTAACGTTATATTAATTTGTTTACAGGATCACGTTCAGCGTCAGGGGTGTCGAAGATCGACTCGCACCCTGAAGACGACGTGCTCTTCGTGTCCAGCAAAGACAGCGAGATCTCGAGCCTATGGGTGAATTATCTGACTGCCTGTTTCGAGCAGATCAGCAGGCAGCAGGGCCGGCCGCCATTCAAGTAATTACTATAAATTTAAATAAACTTCCCAATCCGACAATTTTCTATTTCATCTTCGGAGGAATTCACGTTTAATCTTTTTCGGACGAGGATTTTTCAAAGTGTTAAAAATATTTCCCTCAAACAACTGGAAATTTATACGTATTAACCCTCGGCATGCGGTCACCGGGTCTTTTGTGACCCGATGTATTTAAATGGCCACCTCATTAGTCAATTCTCGGCAATTAAATGAAATAAATGGCTGTTACATTGGGAATATCTTCAAAAATATGTTTGGAAAAATTGTTGAATAAAGCATAGAATTATTATAAAACATCGTCAATTGTATAATTATGAAAATTTTCCGCCGTCCAAGGGTTTAATACGGAAAATAAAAATTTAGCCTTCGCTAATGTAAATAGTATGTATCGAAGACTAAAGTAATGATAAAATTGAACAATATATTCTGATCGTTCGTTACGCACGTGCTCGAATTAAACAGGGTGTCCCAAAATTATGATACTTCCGGGAAATTAGGGGTTCCTGAGATCATTTGAAATAACTTCTTCCTCAGCGAAAATGCAATCCGCGGCTTCGTTTACGAGTTATCAACGAAAAACACTGGCCAATGAGAGGCGAGCTCGGCGAGCCAACCAGCGGACGAAGCACAGTTCCGCCCATTGACTCAGCCAGCCGCGCGCCAGCTGATCTCGTCTCTCATTGGTCACTGTTTTTCCTTAATAACTCGCAAACGAAGCCGCGGATTGCATTTTCGCTGAGGAAAAAGTTACTTGAAATGACCTCAGGAACCCACCCCCCATTTCTCTGAAATATCATAATTTTGGGACATCTTGTATGCTTGCGACTTCTGCAATAATACGTCGACGTTCATCCTCGAAAGATCAAAAGCTGAAGCTCTGCTCCATTGGACAGCAGTCGATCATTGTAAATTACAGAGACGATGCTAACCGGATACAAATCGTTTCAGGGTGCGTCACGTCACCGTCGAAGAAACGATTCCCTCAGGAACCGAGGACAGGATCAGAACAGCTCGTCTACAGATCGTGGTCGTGTGTCCAGTGCTATTGGAAAGGGTTCAAAGCCGACCAGAACATGCGACCAGCTTGGCTAGACACCTGGTCAGCGACAAGGTCCTGGCGATGATGCTGGGTGTCCACGACAGTCACATCAGCGACGCCCACAGGTCGATCCTGGTCTCGTACAATCAGTGGAGGAAATTCTTCGTGAAGGACCAGGACGAGACCTTCGTTGGCGAGCTGTTGGGTGCTGCGGTTGGTATCCTCGGCACTACGCCTCCGCCTGCTCTTAGAAGCGACAAGACTTCGTTCTCCGTTCATCCGAAGAAGGTCAAACTGGTGAGCGAAAATCTGTAATCTGTCCATTAACCTCGACGATAGTAGTAGGTTGTGTAACAAGTCCGTTCGTTGACCTCTGACACCTAGGAAAAGACAAGGAAAATTACACGAATTCAAGGCGACAGTTCAGATGAGTTTTGAGAGACGTTCTCGCGGGGCGATTTCTATGAAACTTAGCTTGAATGGAAGCTGAAAGTGTCTACTTTAAGACTGGGTAGATTAGATGACAATAGAACGATGAGATTGTTTTGAATAATTGAAAGAAATCGACCTCTGACATCGTGGGGCTACGAGATTTAAAAGGACAAATTCTGGTGAATTTTGAGATATGTTTTCGCGGGGCTATTTCTATGAAAATTAGCTTAAATGAAAGCTGAAAGTATCTACTTTAATATGGGGTAAATTATATTGCAATAAAATGACGAGGTCGTTTCGAAAAATTAAGAGGAAATGACCTCCGACATCATGGGGTTTACGAGATTTAAAAGGAAAAGTTCTGATGAATTTTGCGATGTGTTCTCGCGGGGCTATTTCTATCAAAATTAGCTTATATGAAAGCTGGAAGTGTCTACTTTAAAATGGAGTAGATTATATTGCAATAAAATGACGAGATCGTTTTGAAAAATTAAGAGGAATCGACCTCCAACATTATGGGGTTTACGAGAATCTTAACGAAAAGTTTAGATGAATTTTTTATAAGATACGTTCCCGTAGAGCTATTTCCATGCAAGATAGCTTAAATGAAAGCTGGAAGCGTCTACTTTAAGACAAGGTAGATTAGGATAAAATTGTATAATAACTTCTTGCATTTTCTAATAGTTTCTTAGAAAGTACCCTCGGGAATAATTTTAATTTGATGGAACCGATCGAAAGATAGGAGATCGAGTAACGAAGGGAAAATCATTTCCAGGGTCACAACAGGATAATAGCTCTATTGAACGACCCTCTGCGCCCGGAGGACAACGTGTCCGTGATCGTGGATCGCTGCGGGGAGGCGATCGATATCGCCCACGTGAAAAGAAGGAACCCGTACGCCCTGCAGTTCTCGATCCCGGAGAGATGCTTGGAGGTGTCGATGCTGGTCGGCGTCAGGATATCGAAGAACGGCTGTCCTCTGGGAGTGAGGCAGGTGAAGTGCGAGAGCAGGCTCAGGGAGCTCGACCAGATCCTCCGGGCCCACGACAATCCATTGGAGTTCATGTGTCAGGTAAAGATCGCGCTCGATCTAAGCAAACCGGCTGCACGTAAGAGGATCATCCTCGTCGATTGGATCTGACGGGATTACGATCTCGAATTAATTATGCTTGCAGACGTTCGGCTTCAATCCCAGTGACCGCGAGCAGCTGGACAACTGGATGGTCCACGCGTTTCAACGAAACGTGCCGCCGCACTTCAATCTTCTGTCCACCCCCAGTGGAGTGGTTTCCAATCAGAAGGTTCACTCCAGTGAGTTTCCTCGCGTTGCTCTACTTTCCATTACAATACAGATGTACAGTGGCGGACGAAAATACTACAGTGACCTACAAAAGTGTTCGTGCACCTTTTAAAATGCAATAACTGTTTTAGAACTGAACTAAATAACTTGAATTTTCTTTCTTTAAATGATAGGGTGACTAGTCTACTAGACGACGACTGAAATGCTTTTTTATTTTTAATTCTATTATTACTTGGAATGACAAAAAAATAAAAATCTCTCGTTTTCTAGCTTTTTTATCCGAGCCTATAACGAAAATTTAAAAAATAGCTTTTGTAGATCTCGGTAACTTATATGCATATTGAAAATTCCAAATAATAGCGAAATTAAAAACAAAAGCTTTTTAGCCATTGTCTAGAGAACTAGTCCCTCTGTCATCTAAAAAAAGTTCAGGACATTTAGTTCAGTTTTGAAAAATTTATTGTGTTTTAGAAGGTGTACGAACACTTTTGTGGGCCACTGTATCTTTCGACCGAGCCGTCTGTCGAACTGTTCTCGCGACATCGAGACACTAAAAGAAAATAAGAAAAAACGAAACGTAACTCGTTGTTCTGAACATTGATTGCTCTTCGGTGGATACCTTAATCGGTTTCGCAAGCTTGAAACTTTTTTCGCGTTTCGACGATGCGAATCGCCGCGATGAAGTTTTTAAAAAATATTTCGTAGTCCTATATTATTTCAACAAATTGTAGTAGGGCTTCAATTAGTGGAAATATAAATTTGGATTAAATTCAACACTAAAATTTTGATATTTTAAATCAGTTTTATTCGATCTATGCAAATTCATAGTTTTATAATTATTTACTGATTTTGGCTAGGTATAAAACCATTGATGATTATTTGATTGGTTTAAAAATTAGGGATAATGTTAATTTAATATGTAGTAAATATAGTTTAAAAATAGCATTGTAAATTCAGGACTGCAAAATTTGGTAGTTTTATAAATTCGTATTGTTTGTCTACGTGACTAAGGTGTGTTTTTTTATAAGAACGATAAGAGTGAATCCATTTTTATTATAATTTACGCTTGTACGAAAGGAATTTATAATTTATAATTGCAACAAACTGAAAATAAAAAAAAGCTGAACATGCATCTGTAGATTTCAAAGCGAAACGATTAAAATTCATCGTCTTCAATTTATGTCCGCTACTGTACGTCTATATTCTGTTCTCCCATTGTACAAGGTTGCTATCTTCGGTTAAACTGAAATTTACCATATTTTATGTCGACTGCGCTCACAGGAAGACTCGTGGGTAAGGACATCGCCTCCCTCTCGAAAACTAGAATTTCCTCTTTGCTTGTACGGTAGTCTAAAGCATCAGAAATATTCGCGCTAATAAAAAAGAAATTTGTTTTAAAACGAAAAAGAAACGAGTGTAACATTATTTAGTAAGTGGTAATAATTTTCTGACGATCCAGGTCCCGAAGAGAATCCAACGTTGCTGCACTTCGCCGCCCGTTTCGGCCTCGAGAGGTTGGCCTGGCAGCTTCTGGAGTGTCCAGGCGGCGACATAGCATGCGACCTGAGGAACGTGACGGAGCTAACTCCGGCAGATCTCGCTGACCAGGCTGGACACGCGAGACTTGCTCACCAGCTTCGCGGCTACATGGTACAAAAACATCGCCTTTAAACAGACGTCACAGATTAGTCCCAATGGAACCCCGGTACTTCCGCGATATTTCTCTTTTCCTAATCGCCACTACTCGCTTCGACTGTGCTTTCCTCACCGCTAGACTACCACCAGAACCGTTCTAAGTACAATAATCGAGTAACGGCACTCGCCCGAGGTGGCTTCGCGCATTTTGCACCGATGGAGAAAAGTAAGCACCCGGCTCACATCGAGATCAAGCATCAACTTACCATTACCATTACCAACTTACTGTACAACTTAATTCGGCTGACTGAACTCTCTCTCTCTCTCTCTCTCTCTCTCTCTCTCTCTGTCATTCTTTTTCTTTTTTCCTTTCTGTCTCTCTCTGTCACTCTTTTTCTCTTTTTCTCTCGTCGCTTTTTTTTCTCTTTTCTCTCTAGCTCTTTTTTTCTCTGTCTCTCCTTTTCTCTCTGGCTCTCTTTTTTTCTCTGTCTCTCCTTTTCTCTTTGGCTCTCTTTCTCTCTGTCTTTCTTTTCCTCTCTGTCTCTCTGTCACTCTTTTTCTCTTTTCCTCTCTGTCTCTATGTCTCTCTTTTTCTCTTTTTCTTTTTTTCTCTCTGTCTCTCTTTTCCTCTCTGTCTCTCTGTCACTCTTTTTCTCTTTTCCTCTCTGTCTCTATGTCTCTCTTTTTCTCTTTTTCTTTTTTTCTCTCTGTCTCTCTTTTCCTCTCTGTCTCTCTGTCACTCTTTTTCTCTTTTCCTCTCTGTCTCTATGTCTCTCTTTTTCTCTTTTTCTTTTTTTCTCTCTGTCTCTCTTTTCCTCTCTGTCTCTCTGTCACTCTTTTTCTCTTTTCCTCTCTGTCTCTATGTCTCTCTTTTTCTCTTTTTCTCTCTGTCTCTTTTCCCCCTTTTTCTCTCTGTCTCTCCTTTCCTCTTTGGCTCTCTTTCTCTCTGTCTCTGCTTTCCTTTTTGGCTCTCTTTTTCTCTCTGCCTCTCTGTTTCTCTGCCACTCTTTTTCTCTTTGTCTCCTTTTCTCTATGGCTCTCTTTTTCTCTCTGTCTCTCCTTTTCTCTTTTTCTCTCTGTCTCTCTGTCACTCTTTTTCTCTTTTTCTCTCTGTCTCTCTTTTTCTCTGTTTTTCTCTCTGTCCTTCTATCCATCTGTCCTTCTACCTCTCCGTCTCTCTCTCTNGTCCTTCTCTCCCTCTCTCCCTCTCCCTCTCCGTCTCTCTCTCTCTCTCTCTCTCTCTCTCTCTCTCTCTCTCTCTCGCTGTCGACTAACTTCAGACAACCGTTCTCGATCGTGTAATTCAACCTGGACACACGTTCGGTATTCATCGAACTAACTGGTGTTTCGCTTCTGTGTTGCATGTTTCGGGCTCGGCCTTGAATCGCAGCAAATGAACGAGTTCACCAACATGTACAGCTACCTGAAGGTGATCAGCGAGACGGCCACCGATCAAGCGGCGAGTGAGTATCATCCCTCTTCTCACGACTATACGCTACAGCGGACCCGCTCTCGAGGGTTGACGATTTCGCTGCGTCGCCGGTGTCGCGTTCCAAAGCGGCGGATCTGTAAGATGGGTGAATTTCCAGGCGCGGATCCAACAACGACGAACACGAGCAACGAGGCCAGCAACGATAAGGAAGATTACTGTCGTCCACGACCACTGAGCGAGGCTTATTCAGTGCCACCGGCCGCAAGACCAATAACGTCTCTAATCTTGCCTGGCCAATTACCGGTAACCCCCGGCCCGACCACCACTAACCCCATCGAGGCTAATTACTCGATCGTACCGGCACCGACGCCGGTCCACGTCAGTCCCTCGACGCCAACGGCGCCGGCGAACACGCCGAACGGCCTTGAACTACCCCTTCAAGGCTACATGAAGATGCACCCAGCCGGTGAGTCGCCGACGACCGTTCCTCTCGATTGTTTCATTCATTCGATCGTTGATTTCAAGTTTAATGGGTCTGAAATAAATATGTATACTCTCGAAACTCTGCATTTAACCTGTAGCGGCACACGGTCGGCGACCGTAATAACCATAAAACTGTCCGCTTGCAGATGTCAAGGGGTCGACGGAGAGAAAACGTCCTTGACGTTTGCAAGAACCGGAAATTCCTTTGTCTCTTTATTTTTTATCACTGCCAGATGTACTGCATGCCTGGTCGCGGAGAAAGCCGCCGGTCGCGTACCGCTACCTGGCCGAACGGCCAGCGCGCCCCTACAGCGAGGGTTCATCGATGGCTGTCTCCCCCGCCAAACTAAACGGGGGTAAAAGAAGACAGCGAGTCCCCCAAAACAGGCGTGGCCTTTTTGGGGGACGTAATATAAATAAGAGACCCCAGTCAGTCAACGAGTCAGTCGGTACTTTTCAGTTTAGTTTTGCTGAGCCCTCAAACCGTTTCGCTACGGCGGGCCTCGCCGCGGAGTCCCTCGTGTAGAACGGAGCACCCTGCCGAAAGCAGGAACATTAAGCGCGCGCAGTCTTCAGCATTCGGGGCCAAGTCTTTTGCTTCGAAAACGTTGGATTAATATGACCAGATTTATTACAATTGATCGTAGTTTTTGGTAGATGACAGCGTCTGCGAACAGAGGAAAGCGAGGCGATTGCCCTTGTTTGAACTTTTGACTCCATTGTTGTGACCGGTGACTATAGTCGCCCGTCGTGTATAGGTGGCTTCATGTGGCCGGTGACTATAGTCACCCATCGCATGCGGGTGTCGTTTTGCGGCGGGTGACCATAGTCACCCGTAGTAGCGAAAGGGTTAATAAACCTAATCGGAAGAAAGCTGCGCGAATGCGAGGAGGAGAAGTGCAAAAAAGGATCGGGGGGAAGGAGGAGGAATAACGCAGAAAGATGAATGAAAGAAGGATGACCAATGAATGGAGGATTGTTATTATTAAGTCGGTTCGATTGTTCCATTTCGAAAGTTGCAATACCGTTCTCGTTTCTTAGAAGATTCGATTGTCAATGGGATCTCGATTTTTCTAGGACCAAAAACGCCCACGTCGAACATATCGAGCCAGCAGCCGTCCAGGACAGCGACGCCCACGCAGAGTCGTCACGACGCTCACGGCCGCGAGGAGAACAGTCAGTCCTCTTGTTCCTACGGCAGGACCGCCTCGAGCTCGAGCGGAAAGTCCAGGGAGCCTTCCGGCCCTCAGGACGAGCTTCTGGAGATCATAAACGACTTCAAGAACAACGTGTTCACGATCAACGAGGTCGAGAGGCTCGTGGAGAACTGGCGGAACCGGAACGACGTCCAGCAGAGCTTCAAGGACAAGCAGAGGCAGCTGACCGCGATGAGGGAGGAGTACGAGAGGATACAGAAGAGGTTGAAGGAGGAGATGAAGGCGCCGACCCCGTTCGACAGGATCAGGAAGTTCTTCTCCAAGGGGAAGAAAGGTGAGAAGAAGGATAGAAGCGAACGGCGGTGATCAATTTAACGTTACAGCTTGCCGAAGAACACATTGTAACCCGCGCGTTTTCTTTGGACAGATTCGAAGGACTCGGCGAGCGGAAGCGACGATTCCTCCGCGGCCAGCAAAGCGGAGAACATCAACGGCGGATTGGCCGATCGCAGACCAGTTAGCAGTCTGAGTCTTCGCAGCGTGTCGAGTACGTGGCCGTTGTTCGTTGAAAGCGAGACAGGGAAACATGTGTTTGATATCTGCGTTTCTATTTCCTCAGGTTCGTCTTCGTCCGGTAGAATGAGCACCGCCAGCGGATGCAGCGGGACCAGCCTCGGTGACAGTGGAACTCATTCGGACACAGAAGATAGGAGAGTATGTGTCAGAACCGGAAATTCAGTTTTCTATTTTTGTCCGAACGAATCTCGATCAGGGTCGATGTAATTGCAGTTACAAAACGCGAGGGAGGACAAACCGGGAGTAATGTCCTACGAGATACCGCCTGCCCCGAAACCTTTCGCCGGCAGGTACTCGCCCGCACTCAGGTACTCGCCGTCGCCTCGATCCTCTACTGGAAACGACCTCGACCTCAGACCTCAGTTACCGTCGAAGGCAGAGGACACGGAATATTACATCGCCTTTCCTCCTTCGGGATTACCCATTCATTGTAAGAATCGTCCGCGTTAAGTGCAGTCAGTTACAGTCATTTCTCCTAAATATTCGGAGGTTGGAATTGAAACCGGAAAATCTGAAAATAATAATAATAATATTATAATATAATAGTAATATAATATATTATACTAATACTATAATAATATATTATATATATAATAATAATATAATATTATACTAATATAATATAATAATAATATAATATTACACTAATACACTATAATAATATATTATATATATAATATA